AGTGCTAGAAAGAGTTACGAGTCCTGTGCGGATACACACAAGTAGGGCAGTTTTAATTTGGAGCCACAAACTGGATTCATGAATTTTGAAGCCAACAAAATGAACACTTAAAATCGATGGTCAGAAAATTTGGAGAAATAACATTCTGGTTTATTCGGTATAAAGATTTTATTTAGAAATACAATATTTCAATGAAAATGCTGAAAATTCACCGACAACAAATGCAGCCTGAGGTTATTAAGAAGCCCAAGAACAGTTGCTGAGAGGCGTAACGTTTTCGGATTTGTGAGACGCATATCTGTTTGATAAAACTCTTCAAATTTGGAAACCTTCGACGCTTTTGAAGAACTTTGTGAACTGGTAATCAAGGAACAAGTCCTGAGGTGCTTTTGCTAACGGCTGTGGTCGTTGTAAAGCTTTCACATAATGTTCGCTGTGAGATAGGGCTTCCAACAACTCCACCAACTTTTCTTTTCCGACGCGACGCTCGACTATTACACTCAGTGCGTTCTTCCTGTTGAAACATCCAAATTTTAACGTAAGAAACATCATGAAAAATCAATGCCATAATGAGAACAAAAATAACTGGCCAACGCACGGCCTGTCTGTGCGAAGATGCGCTTTTTGCATAGTTTTCCACAGTTTTTGTCACTACCGGCACTGGTTTTTCCGGCAAATGTTTCTAACTAAACAAATTAAGACTGTCCGCCAGAACTGTCAGGAAACACCCTCTTAAAATTTCAGCTTTCTAGCTTCCCTGGCTCCTGAGTTAGCAACTTACTCGAAAAAAACTTTCACGGGCCCGTACGTGGGTACCACGAAGACCCGAAAGCTGGGTTTGAACTCATTAATATCTACTTGGACGGGGAACATCTCCTTAAAATTACAGTCTTCTAGTTTTTCAGGTTCTTGAGTTAGCGACTTGCCCGCGACGAACTTTCACGAGCCCGTACATGGGTACCTCGCGGGTAAGAGCGCTCATTTCGGAGATGGGGGCCTGTACACGCATGCAGATTAAGTCCCCCAAGTTTCAGCCCCGTAGCTTTTGTAGGTCTCGAGATGAAAAATCGCACACACAGACACACGTACACACACACACACACACACACAATGCGTTTTCTGCATTGCATAGCTGCAAAAAACGCATAATAAATGGCCGGCGCGAAGATACGTTTTTTGCATGGTTATCCGCAGATCGCTAACGGCAGCGGTTTTCCGGCAGATGCTCCCAGCTAAACAAATTGAGACTGGCCACCACGACTTAGGAAACATCCTGACAATCCTTGCGGCCAGTTTCATTTCAGCTTTCTAGCTTTTCAGGTTTCCAAGTTGCAACTTACCCGCAAAGAATTTTCACACACAGAACCACACACCTTGAGGCTGAAACCGAAGTCATTAGATTGTACTTGGATAGGGAACGTCCCCTTGAAGTCCCAGCTTTCTAGCTTTTCTGGTTCCCAAGTTAGCAGCTTATTCGCCAAAAACTTTAGTGGCCCGTATGTAGGAAACACATGAGTAAGAGCGCCCATTTTGAGGATGGGGGCCCACACGTGCATGCAGATCAAGTTCCCAAAGTTTCAGCCCTGCAGCTTTTGTAGGTCTCGAAATGAAAAATCGATACAGACGCACACACACAGACACATACACAGATTAATCCCTCGACAGTATGCGTTTTTGCATTGCATACGTGCAGAAACAAATATTCAATATCAACCTGCTTTTATCCTCATCGTTTTCATCAAAAAGCAAACAGATTGTGAGTAGAAACGCAATTAAACTCCTCACAACCCGATTTTCGTCCTCGGAACCTTCTGCACCATAACCATCTGCAAAAAACCAGCTTAACTGTTTAAAAAGTATGAGAAATGCACAATGCAGATTTGATTTCACAGGATTAAATAGATAAGCTAAGTTCCGAGATTCCGTTCGAAGCCTGGTTTTAAGCAACACTTGGAAAGCACTATATTTAATACCCATTAAAAAATTTCGTGAAATTCCATGCCTTTCAAAACAACGTATGACTCGGCTTTTAGAGCAAAAAAAAAGCCTGCGCAAAATTAATTACCGAGCTGCATCGTCAAATATTGAATATTCTCGTCAACAGAGATGAACTGGGCAACAGCCAGAGGACAGTTGTGCAACCATGCCGAAAGTAACATCAACAGCCCCGCCCGCGTTTGTGGCCGGCGGTTTCCCAGAGAAATCTGAAAAGTACTCATCGAATAACTCACAATCAAAAATAGCACAAAGCTCAAAAACCGACCAGAAGACCAGTGAGGTGCTGCAGAAGGGAAGACGGTGGCTCAGATGCGTTCGTTGTGAGCTGAACTCGAAGTAGTTGTTGTTTAAGATGATCTGCGTCGAGAACACAATGTAGTAAGCAAACGCACCCCATCCACACCTAAACAACATTTCAGTTAACGAGGCATATATTCCTCAGTTTATGCCTCGAGCTATCAGCAGCGCCAGAAGATTCCCCCAAAAAGCGAATGTCACATCTTGAAAAATCGAGAAATTTGCAAAAATTGTGTTAATAACAAGTTTTAATTGAATGAAAATTAGCACAATGGTCATCCTAAGTTATGGAAGTGCCTGAAGAATCAAAAGTACGTTTTTTCGC